CATCTCCAGTTCAGTGCCATGCCAGCACCCACATCTTCCCTGGCCTGGATTGCATCACACAGGCACAGGCTGAGTTCAAATTGGAGGGAGTTCATTCTGAATATTTCATCAGAGGTATAAGGTGACCTTTTAAGAAGCAGAGAAGTCAGGGAGTGGCTCCAAGTAAAATCGTTTCCTCTCTCTAGTGAAGGGGTAACCAAACTTTATCTGTGAAAGGCCAGATGGTAAATATTTTAGGCTTTACAGGACATGTGGTCACTGTTGTGAGTCAACTCTTAGCGTGCAAGCAGCTAGAGACAAAATGGAATGGAATGGGTGTGGCTGTGTTCCAATAAAACTTTATTTATAAAAAAAAGGTGGTGTGCGGATTTGACGCAAGAGTCGTGGTTTGCTGACACCCTGATCTAGTGAAACATCTCCAACTTCATTTCTTCATCTTTCTTAACGATCTAGTGGAGTCAAAGCGTCTGGCTTCACTATTTGCAGGCAGTGTACTCTGCTGGGCATGTTACTTTATCTCTGTAAGCTTCAGTTTTCATGCCTGTAAAACAAGGATAATCCTAGTACCTACCTCACAGAAGCTTAGAAGTGCTTGTTCCGGTTATTCTGCTTGCTCCCACATCCATTCTCAGTCCTGCTCTGCCCTGTGCCTGTGAGACTGGCCTCTACACATGGTATCACTGGCCCCTCCTGCTGGCTGGCCCCCATGGAGTTTGCCCAGTAGCCAAATAGGAGGCACTGGCCAGAGACTGCAGCGTGGAAGGAAGGAAAGGGCTGGAGGTATTTCGTCACCTCTGCCTCCCGATTTCCGCAGTGCCTTCTGTCAGCAGTGGGTCTCTGCCCAACAGGGAGACTGCCCCATGGCCCCTGCTCACTCTTGGTGGACTCTAGCGTTTCCTTCCCCTGCACTCTCAGGCTGCCCACGCTCGCTGGTCTCTGGATGCCTTCACATGCTTTGCTTATTCCCTGTGTCTTTCCAATCTAATTTCTGTCAGCTAATACCATGACTTTTGGTACTTGGTAACTGAGGCTGGGAGAAACCTTGAGAGGTCGGCTAATTTATTTTCTTGCTACGCTGCTGTGCCCTTCATCCCCTTCATGTAGGGAGAATTAAATTACAGTAACATAAGCCCAAAGACAAGTTTTCCAACGGTATTAAAATCACTCAGTGCATTGAATGATGGACCTATTCTTGTGGCATTCCTCTTCCTAGTGGTGGACAGGCATAGGGTGATAAACAAGGGTAAGGTAGCAAAAGCATTGTAACTCAAGGCTTTCTGGAGCTGGAAGTCCCGGACCAGGTACCTAGGGATGTAGTCACAGGTCTGTGACAGACAGGCATGGCAGCTATCTATGGACTGAGCCCTGGTAGAGAGGCTCTGAGCTAGGATTGTCCAGTACCCCTCTCTGCTGCCTTCCTGAAGCTGAAACTGGGCCAGCTACAGTCCTTGTTCCTTGGGGCTGCTGCTATTTGCCTTCTCTTAACTAGCTTCAAATATTTTTGAATGAGGTATATTAGCATTGCCTTACTTGTATTTTTCAAAATAAGCCTAAGAGAAACTATACTTTTAACACTGTCCATTTAGATAACACAGTACAGGACAGCACTAAATCTGACTTTTGTTCCAATAATACTGTTGAATATATCTGCAGACTGGCCAAGAGGTCTAAACAAGATCATTGTATTTTATCATTTATAAAGTGAAACTTTTAGTGATCTTTTTTGCATATATATGAATACATATGTATTTATTTTGCCAACTATGTTTTCTTGGAAAGGATTGTCCTTTCCTCTGAGATACTTTCTACTTTTTTGGTATTAAAATAATCCTTCTTTTATGAAATTACAATAATGAGGATGATAACAAAATGTGCCAGGCATTGTATAAGTGCTTTGTCTGCGTGTAGCAGGTGATTTATCTGTAATTCCCCTGAGAAGCCTACGAGGTGAGTACAGACACCATCCTGGTTGTAGAGAGACTAACGCTGAGGCACAGAGTGGTTAAGCCTCTTCCTCAGGGTCCCACAACCATTAAATGGCAGAGTTGGGATAAAACCTAGACAGTTTGACTCTAAAGCCAAAACTTTATATTTTCTGGTAGTAGACTGCAGTTTCTTTTTGTTCTTAGTTGGGAAGATTTTACTTGTCTTGAAATCCCGAAGTCTAAGAACCAGTAGACTCTGCCCTCTGGTCACTGTATCCGCTGCTGCGTTGTGCTGAGGCCTGAGGGAAGGGTCCAGTGTGGGCCAGCTTGACAGCCCCTTCTGGACCACTGCATTTCCCGAGGGGTGCACACAGTGAAGGATGGCAAAGGCAGGTGAGATTCTGATATGATAATGGAGCCTTCCACAAAGTCATTGACCACAGGAACAAAAGGGCCACGGGGAGGTTTTATGACTCTCATGACGCCGTGGTGGGGTATTATCTTGATGCCACTGCCCCCTCCGTCATAGGGAGCACCACCCTCACCATAAGCAAGCAAACTTTCTGGAAGCAGCACATGCTGAGAAAATATGGCCACAGTGCAGGAAGCTGTCTCCAGAAACCACATCCAGCTGAAAGCCCTCCCCTTAGCTGGAAAGTCTGGTTATTGTTTGGACCAGCTTGTAAGGTCCCCATGGGACTCCTCTGCTCTGTCTGATGGTAGCAATAGAGCGCACGCTCTGGGAAGCTAGAGCTCACATGCTGCTACATTCCTTGCCTAATATCGGGGCAATATATTCTTGCCAGGTGTGATGGTGTGATGTGAAAGGTTAAATTCTCTTATAGTCTGTGTATGCTTCTAACAGAGTAAAGGTACTCTAGGTGAAGCTTTTCCTAGATATGGGCCTTGAGGGGAATTTGGAAGCCATCTACTCCATCCCGCCACTACAGAGAAGTACATCTACACTAAACCACTCTTGGTCTATAACTGGCATCTTCCTTGACCTCTTCTGGTGAGTTCCCTTTGTGGTTGCCTGTGCTGTATTCCAGGGCTTCTCAAGACTAGGGTCATACCACCACCCTTCCTTAGGACCTGATTCTGTGCCCTAAATCCCATTGGTGTTCCTGCTTGGACCTTGGAGATTGATAGCTTCATGTTTTTCCCAACGCTTGTCAGTGTGGCCTCTTGCTACCTCCCAGACCATCTCCTGCATCAGTCTAGGACTTCTTCACAAGTGTTCTTACATTAAGAGTAAAACTGATTCGTTGCTGATAAACAGCAAGGTACCATACAACCAAAGTTGCCTCATAATGCCAGGGTCCAGACTCAAGGTTTCATGAGATACTTTTGCAATGTTGAGAATTTTGCAGTGAAGAATCTTTTCTCATTTTTTCCTTGTGAGTCTTCTCACTTGCACCTTTATGGGAAATCACATCACTCTTCCATATTTTGACCTAAAGTTCTATTGTAAATCTGCTTATCTGATTAGGTCACTCAATAGTTCTGCACAAAACCTTTGGGCCCAGTGTTGGTGGTAGAGGTGTGAAGTAACTGGAATAGTTCTCTCCCTGCCTAAATCAGGGCCAGAATTGTTAGGAAGCCATCTGGCTTTTTCTTCTGTAGCCTCTTGCCTTTCCACATAAAACAAGTGGTGATTTTAGTGTCTCTGGAATTTTGTGGCATTTCTGCGGTGTTCTCTTTGTGGAGGAAATATGCATGACTCTACTCATTTAGCACTTCTGGTCAAGAAATTTCCCTTAGTCTGCCAGCAAGCCTGTCAGGTCAGCTTGCCCTCTTCCATCTGTCTTCTCAAATTCTTCACATCTTTAAAATTTCTTGGAAATACTTGTTTATTCACCTAGTCTGCAGACCTAGTTGCTTCATGCCCACACACCCAGCCTAGAATCTCCGCATGGAGACGGCTCTGTCTCATAAAAGCTTCCCACAGACTGCAGCTTTTTATCTTCTGTAATTGAGAAAATCCCTCTGACCTCATGCTTTTATATTCCCCAGCCCTCAGTCTGTTATGCCCAATCACCAATCAAATGATTATTTAATATTTCCCATAAACATAAAAGTCTCAGTAGAAAACACTGTGCCAAAACCACTATGAAGTCTGTCCTGAAGACTGCACATTCTGATGGCCCTCTGATGGTTATCAACGTGTTAGGACCATAACCCCACGTTGGTGCCACAGAAGAGTGCAGTCCAAGAGGGCAGCTTCGCTTCCAGATTTTTCAGATCATTGCAGTCATTTAGCTCATGTGAGTGAGAATTCAGGTCCTTCATGGAAAAGTCTGAACTGAGCAGACCTGCCCCTTGACACACTGCAGCACGCCTGCAAGTCAACGAGAGCCTCTGGGTTCTGGGAGTCGTCCTCTCCCAGGTTATTAAACTTAGATAGAGTTTTGATAAAAGACAGTCTAAGCTATTACAGCTCGCTCACTTAACCCTTCATTTGGAAGTCTATCACCCCGGAGTTTTCTAGTTCCTGCCATAAAGGCTTCCTAGCAAAGCACTTAAAAGCCCTGCTGGATGGATAACTAGGCATTCACATAGTCCTGGATGATGACAGGAAACTTTTATAATTGGTTCTTCAAGTAGCTTGAAGGAAAGAATGAAATAAAGGATATGGGCTTTCCAGTCAGTCAGACTGACATTTGAATCATAGCTTACTCTGGGCAAGTTTCTTATTTTCTCTGAGTCTCAGTTTCCATCTCTGTAAAATGGGAGTAATAGTATACCGCATATGATACTTGACAGAATCAAATATGCAAACACACCCTGCAGAGTCGAGGCACCTGGTAAGCATTTCCTGCTTGTGAAGTGGGCGATGACACTTCTGCATGCAAAGCCCATCCACTAGGATGCTTGTGTGAGTGCTTCACAGTTAGGAACAACTGACACACGTGTCTCAGTGGCCTTGCCCTTGCAAGCACTAGAGATTCAGAATTCGTCCTGCTGTCCCTCTGCTTCACCCGGTCTTGGCTAAAGGAAGTGCAATAAAGCAATAATACTTTAGAATGGTTTCAAGCATGCTCATAGAATATGGTAACATTCTGGAACCATAAGATTCTTAAATCTGCTGGGGACTAATATGGAGGCGCCAAAGGGATTTCAAAAAAATAAGATTTATATTGTGGCTCAGAAGCATCCACTATGGTCAAACCTGACTCATTCTTCTTCTTTCTGTGAAAAGAAGCTTACAGGTGACGTCCAGGAGGTCAGGTGAGGGTTTCAGAGCTGGACTCTTCAGGTTTTCTGGACCAGGCCAGCCTCTCAGTTTCTCCCTCTATTGAGAGGCTGAGTCTGTGGGTGTCAGGAAGGAGCATGTGTGTAGGGTGGGGGGTGCTGGCAGTGTATTTCATTTAAGAAAGAGTAAGATTTAAGAGTGGATTAATCTTTCATTGCTTCCTATCCTATTCAATGCTTCAGCAGCATATTTTCTGCACTATTGTGCTTTGTCATTTTACCTTGAAATTACAACCTAGAGAACTTGATCTGTGGCCTATATACAATTATCTTAAGGTCACCAGATATTAAGGTCACAGCTCCATGAGTAGTTTGAGATATCACTGTTATCTGTTTTAGATTTTTTTTTAATAAAGAAGTAAATAAGCAATCTTAAAAAAAAATCTGTCAGAACTGTGCCTAGGTCTCACTATGGTATATAAGTACTATTTAAAAGGTTATTTAAGGGCTGCTATCAACGGGGTGGTCTTTTTATTGTATTTTCTTTTCCAAAGTTAATTGGCTATAAGTTCACTTTTAAAAATCTTGCTGTATATCTAGCCTTAACATAGGGAAAAGAAAACAAACAACAACCTGCTATCTGACATTGCATCATTATTGTTAAGATTTATTAGTAGTCAAATTCTACCCATACCTAAAACTCACAAGTTCTATTGTCACTTCTAAACTGTTGCGTATGAATGCATGCAATTAGAAATTTGCCGTTAAAAAGAGAGTCACGCTGATCCTCTGTCTTACTGTTAAGCATCTAAATGACGTATGAAATTTTAGATGACTATGAGGTATAAGACAAATTCCATGACATTTGTCACAGCTTCAGAAATTAATGAGCTAACATTTTGGGCAGTTCTGTCGATACGTATTTTTTAGTCAATAAGAGAAATATTATTATTTCTATTTTAAAGAATATATGTCTTTAGAATTGTTGGCTTTATTTACTTATTGAGTTACAGATGACATCTATTTTTGGTTGCAGTGAATGTGGACCCAAGTGACAAACAAGACTTGACAGATCATCAGTCTGTACCCTGAATAGATTTTTTTTCCGTATGATAATCCTGCAAAGTCTAGTGCAAGCCTGGTGTCCTGGTGTTAGAGGGACAGAAATGTTAGAATTGAGGGAAAAACAAATCTGTCGTTGTTGAAGGAACATCACTAGGATCTCAAACCCAGAACCCACAGCTTGGGGAGGAGACGATAGGAATTTTAAAATAACTCGCTGAATATTTTTAAAAGGATTTTAGGAGTAAAAACTTAGAGTAGGTGTGTGGCCATTCTACATTTAGCCTAAAAATTCGTAAAGAAATAGGAAAAAGTGAATCATAGAAAGAAGCCAGAAGAAATTGATCTCAAATTCATCTCTAGGATCACCTGAGGACCAGTGTCATAGACATCTTCCTTATTTAAATCGTCCTGGAGAGCAAGTCACACAAACTCCTTCAGTTGCTCCCTGCAATATTGAGCGACTATTACTGTCAGAAAGTTCTTCCTTATGTGTAACCTCATGTCTCATGGTGCGTGTTAAAAACCATTCTCTCTTGCATAGTTTTCACTGGAGATAAAATCAGCTAGATCCCAACCTCCATGGGATAAGGAGAAAGAACTGAAGAGAAAACAAAGTTTAAATGATGTTGCGAGTACATTTCGATTAAGTGTGAACTTACTCAAAGCATTCTTGGTAACATCCTTGATGATGGATTTAGACCATAGGATTTGCTATGTCTCAAGACAGAGCTGGGTGTCTGACCACCACTTCACGGACTTGTGTATAAGCCAGCAACCTCAAAGGCTGTGCAGTAAGTGATACCTTCACAGAATCCATTCAGTCAATGTGAACTTTTATGTATTTAATACCATTCAAAAAACAAAAAGCCATTCAAATAACGAAATGAGAATGTTTAATTGGAAACATGCAATTATTCTCATGCTCAATCCCTATTATATAAAAGAAGCAGGGAGTAAGATGTGCTAAGAGGGTGGGCTTGGGGTTTGTCAAAGTCTTGAACTTTTTTTAACATAGGCGATATCATAAATAAAGGGGAAAAAAAGAAAACAGTCGCGTGCAGCAGTTGGGTCCGGGTTCTGGAATGGCCTTGTCTGTATGCTAACCCTGCATGTGGATAAGTGCTTTGCATCTGCTGCCATCTCACCAGCACATTCAGAAGAGGAACAGCACTGTCTGCAGAGTGTTTCAGTTCCCGCAGAAAACACCACATAAATAGACGGTAATGTATAAATAGAGCGGAGGCCAAAAACCTCGTGCCAAAATGATCCTCTAAAATTTTACACCTATTTCATGCATTAAAGGAGAAATGTGTAGCATATGCTTTCACTTATTTTACGATTAGCTCATCAAGTTTGTGTTTTGCGGGGACAGAAAGCCAAAAAGCCTGTGTCTCTCACGACCCTTCCACAGCCCCTCTGCGGCCTCACTCTTCCAGTGTTGTTTTAAAGAGCTGCTCTCACAGGTCCTCAGAAGTAAAATTAAACTCAAACTCAATAATATGAATTTGCATTTGTGTTGATCTTTAAAGTTTACAAAGTGTGTTCACATAATTTCGTTTTGTTGTCACAACTGCTCTACGGGTTAGCAGGGCAGGGGGTAATGTTCCCATTTTACAATTGTGGAAACTGAGACAGAGAAGAAAGGCGCCTTGCTTCAAATTATCCGGCTATTAACCAGCAGAGCTGTGTCTTGAACCCAAGTGCTCCAGCTCAATTCAATGATGCTTTTTCCACTCTGCCCAGGCTGTTTGTGGTAAACAGAACTCTCACATGCTCCCTAGTGACCCTCACCTTTATATAATCTCCGCTCCTGAGTGTCTGTGGAACCTGTAAATATGATGAGATATTACTCTTGTAATTACGTTACTTTATATGCAAAAGGAATTTTGCAGTTCTAATTAAAGTCCCAAATCAGTTGACTTTAAGATAAGCAGCTTGTCTAGGTGAGACTGACCAAATCATAACAGCCCTTAAAATTGGGTTCTAGAGGTCAGAGATGGAGGAAGTCAGAGAGATTTGAAGTGTAAGAAGGATTTATTGCAAGGAAGATTCTCTGTTGCTGGCTTTGCAGATGGAGAGGCCTCCATGGCAATGAATGCCGGCAGGCTCAAGGAGCTGAGAGCAGACTCTGCTGACAACCAGCCAGAAGATGGGAGCCTCTGTCTTAGGACTGCAAGGAACTGAATTCGGCCAACTGACCAGGAAGAAAATTCTTCTCCAGAGCCTCTAGATGAGGACGCAGGCTGGCCAGCTTGGTGATCTTAGGCTTGTGATACTCTGAACGGAGAACCCAGTCGCATTGTGCTGAACTTCCGAAATACAGAACTGTGGCATAATAAACGGGTATTGTTTTAAGGGGCCAAATTTATGGTAATTTGTTGTATAGCAATAGAAAACTAATAAACTGCCACTCACAAATGTTGATTGAATGCTTATTATGTGCAAGACAATAATTTTTATTTCAGATCATTTTATTTTGTGTCTGTGTCTAGGAGGGTTAGTTAAAAAAAATTCCCCAGACTTGCTGTGATAATGTTAATGTTTCTCCTTACTTGTGGGAATATAGAGAACTACAATCCCTGTCTTCTTGAAGGTAAGCATGACTGTGTCCCTTATTCTGACCAATGAAATGAAAGAGAAGTGACATGTCTCTTCTAGGACAATGGCTTCAAGTCACCATGTTCTCTTTGCCTGTGGCAGGAAATCCTAAAGCTCTGATGAGAAGGGAGTGTCCCACGATGGGGAGCACCTGTCAGCCTGGGTCTGGGGAGCAGAACCTCCCCCCACCATCTGCTTTGGGCATATAGTGTGAGCGAGATATAAACCTTTACTGTTTCCAGCCCCTGGGATTGTTGGGTTGTTTGTTTCCACAACATAATCTAGCCCGTTCTGACGAGTACACTTGCCTTGAATGCAACATGTAGCATGGAGCTTCGTAAACGCTGACCACCATCCTACTACAATGGCAATGAAAGCCGGTTACCTGTTCCTAGGACATTTTACTGAACACTTTTTGAGTAAGAAAAAAGTAGAGCTTTATTTGACACCATTTTTTCCTCCAAGTAGGTGAGGAGTGGGGAAAAGGATGGAAGAAGTAGGGTAAGACTGAGAAAATAAGGAAAACAAGAAATAGCATGTGGTTTTCTGACTGAGCAACAATTACTGAGTGGCCCTGACTAGACTGTGTGCCATCCCCAAACATCAGTAAAGACAGGCCCACTTTCCATGAGACATTGATAACCCAAGTCAGTCATTAATGTTTCAATGAGTTCAAATGAAATTATGTACCTTACGTATATTAGGATGGTTCTGTTCTCCAGGTTTGCTAGAACACACTATCCTAATTTGGGAGAAGGAAATCAAGCCTGTAAGCATTATGTGGGTTTTCACATTTCATGTTTCTCTGTTTTATTTCTGTAGAAGACCCAGAGAATAGGTCTATGTGATAGCTAAGTTAAAAAGCAATTTTTATATTTATACAAGAACATAGTCACTGACAAATGTAACAGGTCTTGTCATTTTGTTTGCAACTAGCCTTATAATCGTTCATCAGCTATCTTTTTTTTAAGCAGCAACATTAGTAAAATACTTCCTTCCTGTTAAGATAGTCACTAAAATTTAGAATTTTAAGTGAGTCAAATAGAAAAAGTTGGTCTCTTTAATCATACACAACAAACTTATTTTGAAAATAAACTTTTTCGAGGGTAAATTCCAAGTAACTGCTAACAAGTGGAGGTCAAAGTTAGTGTCTGTCAAAAACATTATTTCAAGAAGTTTTGATACAAAGCAGAAAAACTCTACATACTGTTTAAGCTCTTGGTTTCCAGGTTCATTCCGTCATCACTATTTTTCCACTTATTCACTAATCAAATTAATCAACTCTATAAGAGGTTTCTTCCAACCATTTGTGAAGTTTTTCAAACTAGATTTTCTCAAACTAAAGTTAGAGGATTTCTTCAGAAAATTCAGGTGATTTCTGGAAATCAAAAACAAATGGACCATTTTTTTTTAGTTGACTACTCTTTCTTTTTTAATTTATTTTTTTATTGAGGTACCATTGGTTTATAACATTACATAAATTTGAGGTGTGCATTATTATATTTTGATTTCTTTGAAGTCTGCATTGTGTTCACCACCCAAAGTCTAATTGCCATCCAACTTTTCTTTCTTCTTTTCTTTTTTCTTCAGGGAAAGATTCACCCTGGGTTAACATCTATTGCCAATCTTCCTCTTTTTTTTTTGGTGCATGGTTGTATATCCTAGTTGTAAATTGTTCAAGTTCTTCCATGTGAGCTGCCGCCGCAACATGGCAACTGCCATATGGGTGGTGTGGTTCTGCCACCAGGCAGCAAACCTGGACCACGGAAGTGGTAAGAGCTAAACTCTAATCACCAGGCCATAAGGGCTGGCTTGACTTGTCTTTCTTAAAGTATAAAAAAGAGGAAGATAATTTCAAAAGTCTGGTTTGATTTTCCTCTTTCCTTTGCAAATCAGTCTTTCATACTTCAACATAATTCTGAAGGGATTAAAAGGTGAATGTCCTTCAAGGTCACTCTCTCTTTCCTTAGTACTATCAAGTCAGCATCCTGAATAGAAGGTTTGACTCCCATGGTACAGTAAGAGGTGTTGATTGTTAATTCTGAAGATGCCCTGACTCTAACTGCAGAGCACACTTGGAGTCAGGAATGAGCCTTTCCAAAGCAGCGTCTTGGCCGGGGTAGGGGGAAGGTTACGGTGAAGGAAGGCTACACTACATAAAACTGGTACCTGGTACCTCATGACATTTTCCATCCTTCCCCCACTGCCACATTCAACTTCTTCCTCAGCATGTTCATTTCAAATGTTAGATGACTTTTCTTTTAATGAGCCTATTTACTTTTCAGCAAATATATGCAACAACCAATCTCAATCTGGCCGTGAAACAAGAGTGCCATTGAAGGCCTAGAATGACCAAGCTTTTAAGTGCGAGTTTTCCCCTTTCCTTCACAAAAGAAACACACATTTAGTATTTCTTTATTTAAAGACATGCTCGCCCACAAACATCTGAAAAACATCTGTAGACAAAATGCCAAAATGCATAGTCGAATTTTGACTCACACCTCACCACCCACCAAGACCCCTGTCAACTCACAATAAACACCTTTCTAGCATCTGCCCCAGAGAAAGAAACGCCACATTACCCAAAGGTCAGAGCAAACAGATGTCACTTATTGCAGACCCTAATCATATCCATATCCAACCTTAGGAGGCCTGCGGTGAAAGCCGACTTCTGGAGTCAGGGTTCCTCCAGTTAGAGACGCTCATGCCTACGTCCTCCCTCCCTCTCACTGGAGCAAGGGGGCTTTAGAAGCAGTTGTCTCTAGGGGCCATCCCTGTGTCCTGCTGACAGAGCCCGTGATTGAACACTGGGGTTAGGCAAGCAGCAGGAAATTCTTCATGGTTGGCCAGCATCTTAGCTGTCTTCCTGCTTCTCATTCTGACAGACCTGGAATACTCTTTCAAGAGCAGCTCTTGCATCAACCTCCCAGATTCCCTGTGGAAGACTTAGACCTGCTCTTCTCTGTTCTCACAGCCCTTTGTCTCATCTCTGTACCTCCTTTTATGGAACTCATCATATTGAATAGCATCACTTTATATCTCTGACCCCCAGGGGACTGAGTTTCAGTTGGAGGAAGGAAGAAGAGAGGGAAGGAAGGAAGGAAGGAAGAAGGAAATAGAATGGAAGGATATGGGATTTATATGAAGAGGTTTAATAAAGAGACAATGTTGGCAGTGTAATTTAGAGGGGGTTTTTTGTTTTGTTTCGTTTTTATCTTTATAAACTGATACAGCATAATGCTTGTCAGTAACTACATATTCAGTATCTATAAAAGATTTTTAAAAAGATAAGTGTGTGGATATTTTCTGTTTGCTCCTACAGACCTACCCTTTACCTTTCTCCCATCCTGATCCCCCTGTCTCAGCCCTTCGGGGCTGGCCCAGATCATTCAAAGAGAAATACAATGAGGATCATAAATAATTTAGAAATTAGGAAACATCGAGGTTCAAATCTCATAACATAAGCCTGTACATTTGAAGAATTCTTTCTTATAATTGCAAATAAGAGTTTGGAAAGGGTTTATAGTTGAATGTGATATAAAAATAAAGCAAAAAAAAAAAAAAAAAAAAAGAGGAACGTGGCTCACTTTCCACAGCGATTTTCAATCTCTGCCTCCCTCAAACTCACACAGATGCAGATACTGTGTACCTGCAGCCTGAAGGCTCACCTTTACCCGTTTCTTGAGACCTGACCATGTCTGTCAGTATATTAGGAGCTCCATTCTCCCAGTGACTGAGGTCTGAAGGCAGTTACGCTGTCATAAGCCTAGTGCCTAGTGATCCTGGAGGGGCTCCACGTGCTCCCTGAAATCTTTCCATCTTAGTGACTGAGCATCTTTGTACGTGTTTGTGTACCAGTTTTTTTCCCCTCTTGAACTAGAACACTAGTCTGACCTTTAGATCGTAGATTGGAGCCTTCCTTCCAGCCAAGTCTTGCCAACTTACCTCTCCTGGGGGCTGAGCCCTGCTCTCTGGCTGGACTGTGTTCCAACGACAGCAACCACTCCCACTTGCTATTTCTGCCAGGGCCTCCTTTTACGTTATTGGTAATTCTCACCAAAACCATTCAAGGTACACAGCATTGCCCCCTTGTGCAGATAAACCACAACTCAGTATTGGAGATATCTAATGTCTTAACCGAGGCAAAACAGCTGAAGAGTAGAAGAGGCAGGTGTCTCTGATCCCAGAACTTATGACCTTCCCACCCCGTTTCACTGCCTCCTGTCTGGAACTTTGACGCTATTCACCCGCCATCCTTAAGGATCTCTTCTTCCAGAGACGCCACCACATGGCACCTCAGATATCAATGCCAGACAAGACTGGACCCAGATTGGGACAATGGGGAAGAAGCAAACTTTGCTCCACAGTCCCAGTTCCACCCGGAACAGCCTTCTTCTCCTCGCAGACATTAAACTTAGTTTTAGATTATATAATATTTTAGGACAATCCCACAAAGCTTTCGCGTCATCCCGAGGGCTTCTTTAAATATTTTTTCTTACATGAGAAAAGACGGATACACAAAAATGTAGGTTTTTAGGAATTTTTTTTCATGCAAACATAACTACCCTGAAACCTCATCACATTAATGTTGAGTTTTAAAGGAGTCCAGTTTCATTCCTGGTCACTAGAGTTTACAGAAGTGAAGTTCAATATTCTTAAAAGTTTGAAAATTTTACATAATTGCAAGCAACCCTTGTGTGCTCTGAATTGAATTATCCCTCTGAGGTATACTGAGTCTTCTTGCTTCCCTTTCCCTCTGCTTCTGAATTTTTCAAGCAAAATCTATCAAATAAAAATAATTATT